TCTGGTTTGTTTCAGTTCTCGAAACTCTGTATCAACTCCAGCTCTGAGATCCCAGCTCGCTGAAAGCTGGTTTCTGGGGTTTTGTTTAGTGTCTATATTTGTTACAATGTTTGAAACTGCAGGCTCAGAGGCCTGCAGCGGCTGGCGGGGAACATTGGAGTCCTCCGTCACTGAAGCAAGCAAGCCTCATGTTAGTTTCAAGCTGCCTGGCTGCCAGCCGCCATCTTGGCTGACAGTTAATTTGCATATTGCCCTGATTAGCCAATGGGAACAGTACCAGTCGTACGCCAATTACCATGTTTCTCTTTTATTAGTGTAGATTACTCCATGCATTCTAAAGCTCCAAAAACATAACAAATAGTTCTCAAAAAACATCATATACTTTCACAGAACTATACCTTTGCTCATGCTGCTCACTGTTTAGACAACTTTTCCACTCTGACATATTGTTATGTCCTTCAAATGTCCAGGTCAAATGCCATCTGTATTATGAAGTGAGCTTGCTCTTCCTCTCCTTTGTGCTCACATCACTTTGCACATACTTTTATCAAATTCAAATTGTCTGGGTTCAACTTGTAGTTCTGCCAGATTCCAAATGTGTGACCTTCAGTAAGTTACTTCTTTGTGCTTCTGTAACCTCATTAGTAAAATGGGGATACTAGCAATGATTTCATAGAGTTTTGGTGTGGGGATTAGTGAGTTACTATGCACAAAGTTCTTAGAGAAATGTCTGGCACTTAGTAAGCATTATATAAATTATTTGCTATTGTTATTATATTAAGTGAAAACAATCAGGAAAAAAACCTTTTACTCTTAGACTGTAAATGTACAAAAATGTCTCCACTCTGATATTCTGGTGACCTTGCACTATTTACATAGGCCATGTAGGCAAGGCTCAATTGTGGTCTGCCCCAGGCCTTGGCAGAACATCCTGTGATCCTCTCAGACTGTGGGAAGATAGGCAGTCTTGTGAGGAGTTGCCTCAAGGCTGTTTTTCTTATCTGTCTTTCTACCTTGTGGGAGGCTTCCTATCTTGCAGAAGGCTAACACAAGGCAGATTGTCACCCTATTCCCTGGTTCCAGTAAGGCATAGGACTTTCTATCTCCTTCCCCTTGGGTACAGATGCAGGCTATAAAACAGCTTAGCTGCAGTCTAGAGTGAACTCTTCAGCAACAGAGTACCCACAGGCACCTTTAGTTTGATTTTGTCCTGTGGGGCAATGGAATATCGGGAACTGACACCATGCTGATCTTACTTATGCTGTCTGTGTAAGTAATCTATATTCATTTGATCTCATTGTTTCCTTATTGGATGGATTTATGAAGGTCTGTGCTGCTGCTTATGTACTGCTTGATCTATTGACAGTAAGCTCCTGGAGAGAAGTAGAAACTTAATGATTTTTTTCAACTCTATCTATTGAGAATCTAGCCGATAGTAAGTGCTCAATAAGTATTTGTAGAATTTTTAAAAATATAGCAAACAATGATGAATATGTATGCAAGGATATATAGTCAAGGATAAATATCAAACCCATTTAATCAGAACCTTGTAGAAAGGGATAGAGAGTATAGAAGACAAAATAAAATAAAATATAAAATAAAATAAAACAAGTCAAGGGCATTCTACTTATAAGGTTTAAAGAAAAACATAGACATGTCACCTAGGAGGAAAAAGCCCTCTAGCTTGCTTGTGTTTCCATTAATTTATATGAATGTTTGATATCTTGTAAGCTTGTCTTTATTTTCTCAAATGAACTGTAATATAAGGAAGAAAGGTTAGATTCTCATCTTTCGTGTTCCAAGGAGCCCCAGTTTTTTTTCTCCTAAGAGCTGCCTCATGGATAATAGTACCCTTTTAACCAAGGTGGGGATACTTTTATGTGTTTTATATGTTGGAATTTCTCATTGAATTTTACTTGAAGAAAAAGGTTAGCAGCTAACAACAAGGCAAAACAAAAACTGGCTTAGTTCTAGCTCTAAAATTAATGTACAGTGTGAGGACTGAGTTAATAGTACTATATTGAATACTGGAAATTTGCTAATAGAGTAGATTTCAGGTGCTCTCACTACACACACACACACACACACACACACACACACAAATTGTAACTATGTGAGATGATACATTAATTAGCTTGACTATAGTAATCATTTCACTATGTATATCAAATCATCATATTGTACACTTAAATATATATAATTTTTATTTAAAAATAAAATGCCTAAATATAGATTAAGGTAAGGGAAGTTTGGTAGCTACAAACTTGGGAGTAGAGCAACAGGCAAAATTGTATAATGGAGTTATTTGGATTGGAGTTAGAAGGCAAGAATGGAAGCTTTGCTGAAGACATACATATTACTAATGCAGAATTTTGTTTAAGACAATTGCTTTGATATAGGACTCATAAATCTTACTTTTTTATTTGGAATTTGGGGAGGGTAAAGGACAGGGTGGTCCTTGTGAATTTTTAACCCCCAAATCACTCCTTGTACATATAAATAAGGTTCAGGATCCAAGTAACCTATTTAGTCAATTCTAAATTGCAAATTTCCCTACATTTTAATGTTTCTGATATTAGGATGTATCGCATAATCAATGCATACATTAAATATAGCATATCTATTTTCCTTTATTATTAAATAAATGGCACAGTTACAATTTGATGATGTCTTAGATTTGAGAAAATGCCATATTATCAAGAGAAATAATAAGCTTATAAATTTGAGCAAGAAATACTTGAGATGGGATCAATAACCTCTTTAGTCTGAGTCTTACCAGTGGGGTTAAGCAATGATGGTGGATGTCATAATTGATATGCCTACAGAATAAAATTCAAAATTCAAGCTACAAATAAGGGCTTTTTCTTTTCTATATTCACTGCTTACTCAAATAGGCCATGCTATTTCATACCTGGTTACCATTCCATGTGCTCTTACCTCTGCTTGGAAGATCCTTCTTGGAATGTTGTCCACCACAGAAATCCTATCTACCTAAAGAGAGTTGTTCTCTTTGTGCTTTATGTCATCATGTGCCTGATATATGCGTCTAAATATGTACTGATGCAATGATTTGTTAGGTGTCCATCTCCTTTACTGGAAATTCCTTGAGGGGAATTGACTTATTTATCTCTGTACCCCTAGTACATAGGATAGTGCCTGGTATGTAGTAGTAGTCACTAAATTTTCAAAGATTTAATATATGATTAAAAAGAAAGGGGTAACGGATTAGTATAATGTGGTAAAGTGCCATAGCACCAACAAATGTTTCATTTGCTGCTGCCATTCAGTGGTGTTTATTCCTTATCCAAACCCTTTAACTTCCAGTAGACATATAATTGTCAACATTGAGTTTAATTGTTAATAATGAGACATTTATGTCTCCCCAGTGGATTATAAATTTATTAGAGGGAGGGATCAAGTATTTTTTGTATATACTTGTTGAGTTTTAGATAAATTGTATATTCCTATTTTGAGGTGTGATTTAGTTTCCAAGATTCATCATTCAGTATACCTTTATCATTAATACTCGTAGCAATTTATGCGAGAGAAATGAAAAGGCCCACAGTTTTATTTATTTAGGGCCTAGAATTTCTCCAGAGTTTAAATCAATCCTTAATACTAGAAATAAAAAACATAATTTTATACTAATTTAAGGAGAAGAATTTGAATATTACTGCTAAAACCCTGAGAGCTAGCCTTAGCCAATTTGGTTCAGTGGTAAGAGCTTTGACCAGTGGACTGAAGGGTCACAGATTCCAGTCAAGGGCAAGTACCTTGGTTGCAGGCTCCATCTCCTGCCCTGGTCAGGGTGTGTGGTGGTGGCAACCAATTAATGTGATCTCTCTCATAGCAATGTTTCTCTCTCACATCGATGTTTCTTTCTCTGTGTCTCTTCCTCTCCCTTCCACTCTCTCTAAAAAAATCAATGGGGGAAAAATATCCTCATGTGAGAATTAACAAACAAACAAACAAACAAACAAACAAAAACCCTGGGGACTATTTACTTCAAGATCACTTGAAACCTTAATTCATTCAAGTTTGAAAAACCTCCTGAGGTACTTAAAATCACTATTCACACTTTGTTACTTGATCTTGCTAATAAGAGAAAACCTGAAGTTTGTGCAAAAGAGAAATTCCATTTATCATTTGGTTAAGGAAAAAAATATTAAGTATCCCCTATGGGCACCTCAGTACTCTATACTATATAGTATTGTAAGAGAAGGAGAAAAAAGATAAATGCACAGGCCCAGCTCTCAAAAAATAAATTCTCAGCATCAAAATTACTAGTGTATATTGTTAAAATGAGTTGCATTCTGCACTCTTGGTTATACACAGACTTTTCAACAAGATCACTATGAGGCTCAAATAAGCAAAAATAAGGTGGTTTCAATTCATACTATTGGCATTGTTATTGTAATTACATAAGAACAGCGGCTTGGCAAAAGATGCTCTCCAATACGGTGTAGTGTCATTCAGATTAAGAAGCCAAGTTACACTTTAGATGTCTTTTTAGAGTTTTAATTCAGAAGTTACAAATATTAAGAAAAAAATCCCTTTTTAAATTTCCCAATGCCAGCTTAGTCATTAAAAGAAACACAGACATAAGAGAGAAGACAGATTCAGGAAAGGAAATATTTCATTCTCATTGCCTGTCAACTCATGAGACATTATTAACCAATCAGATGGCATACATGAGATAGAAGAAAGATGAAAGAAATTCAGTCCAATCAGGTTGGGCAGTTTTAATAGAACTAGAAATAGTGTATCATGTCATATGATTATATTATGTTTATTTGTAAATCTTATCCACATGTGTAAGGTTTATTTTGACATGTTTACTGAATTTAAACTGTCTATCCCATTACTCCCTTAGTACTTGAAGTATAGCAACCACTATTTTTAAAGAGTTTACAGCCTTGCCTACAGTGTTATGTATGCAAAAGGCAGTCAATTTAGCTATGAAGATCATAAGGAAAATGGGGAAGTGGGGAGAAGCTTACCACTAGATCCTCACAACACGCTGTTGAAGAGTCTTTTTCTGTAAGTCCTAGGAATACATCCTCAGTTCCCACCTGCTGTTTGTATATAATTTCATACCTGAAAAAAAGGCATTGATATAGAGATTCAAATGAAGGAGAAATTTCCTGTCACAGAGCAGAAAACTAGAAACTTATGAGAATATGCCATTACAAAAAAAAAAATAAAAGGACTAAATAAAATGCTTACAGTTTTTCAGGCATATAGCAGAACATAAAGGAATAGAAGTCTAGAAATTCAGTTAAAAATGCCTAACACTGTAAAGCAGAATTTATATCACATATATTTCTTTTCTAAAATGAAGCTTAATTGTTTTAGATCTATACATATAAAATGGATTGAGGGAATTTCTAATAAGAGTCTAATAAAATTCAATATAGAAGAAAAAAGGTTCTTTCCAGGAAAGCAGAGGCTCAGAAAAATAGTGGGCCCATAACCCAGTTTGATGGATAGACAGAAACTCTCCTCTGCTAAATGTAAGCCATAAAGTAGAGTTCAACAATCCAGATTTAATACCATTTCCGTCATTAACTGTGTGACCTTGGTAAAGTCACAAACTCATGGAGTCTCTGCTTCTACATTTTTACAATTTATAGAAGGGATGGATTTGAATTAAATGATTTCTATCTTTTCCACCTCTAAAATTCTACAATAGAAACACTGGTAATATAGTCAACACATCTACACTATGATGTTTAGAATCAAGACATATAGAATTCTTAGTTCAATGAAAAAATTTCCTGTATTTCAACTCACATATGACAATTCACAAATTTTTCCTTGGGCCCAAACTTGGGCCCTTAGAGGTAGGATGTTTTATAGAAGCACCCAGCCATAATGTACCTTATCATTTTAGATGGAATGAAGTAAGCAAACATTTACAAATGATCTTTTATATTTAATTCTATCCTGATGAAGAAATGGTAAATCTCTGGACAGGAAGACTAAAAGATTACATTGAATTTTTGATGCCCAGGAATGAAAAAGGGATTTCTCTGAGTTGAAACAGGAGTGGCAATAAGTAGCCATTTGATATGAGTCATTTTATTTTCTTAATAGACTATAACATCTATCAGATATTTACAAAGATTAGGCCAGAATAAAACTAAGTATAAAAGTATTGACCCATATGTCCATGATTCCCAAATAGACTTGCTCTAGCTGCTGCTCTTCTCATCTCCAGAAGCAGTTTTCCAACTTCTTACTATATGTATTTGCCTAGCTGTCTCAAAAGCATCTCACTGTTCACACATCCAAAAACACTCATTGCTTCCCTTCCACATACATTCCCAATTACAGTTAATGGTCCCACTATTCATAACCCAGTCACCCAAGATAGTAACCTTAGCATCATTTTTTACAGTTTCCTCTCATTCATTATATCTAACCAAAATATCAAATCTGCCTTTAAAAAATCTCTCAAATAAAGACCCTAATGCTTTTCCCTGAGGCCAGTGACTTAGATCAGGCCCTTATAACATTTTATTTAACTACTAGTCATTCTTCTTTTGTGAACTGCCTGTCTACGTTCTTTACTCATTTTCCTCTTTACCCATTGGGACATTTGAAATATAATTGCATAAGATTGAAAATGCATACTTTTAAAAAAATCTTAAAAGCAATTTTCTTCATATCCTGAATGATTTACTTATTCCTGTAAAGCTTTCATGGATGTTCTTTCTACAGAACATCAAACATCAGGGAATGTGAGAATTTACTTTAATTTGGAGCTTGCTATATATTGATGATTGACATTTATTAGACAATATAACAAATGAGTGACTAAATTCTTATCTTTCATATGGATGTGTGTGTTCTGTATAAACATAATATGAGATTTACTCTCTTCATTTTTTTTTTTTTTTTTTTTTAATATTCACCGAAGGGTATTTTTCCATTGATTTTCAGAAAGAGTGGAAGAGAGAGGGAAAGACAGAGAGAAATATCGATGTGAGAGAAACACATCGATTGGTTGCCTCCTACATGCACTCCTGGTTGCCTCCTGCATGCACTCTGACTAGGGTCCTGGCCTGAGAGCAGCCAGCAACTTAGGTACATGCCTTGACCAGAATTGAACCTAGGACCCTTTGGTCTGCAGGCAGATGCTCTATCCACTAAGCCAAACTGGCTAGGGCTACTCTCTTCATTCTTAAGATGCAGACTGAAGGTGTTTGCTTTTTTTATGAGGTTTACAAATTTTTGACATTGTTTATGTAAAAGCTGGGTACTTTTTTCCAGTTAATTATCTGCAGTCTCCTACTGATTCTATTTTCAGAACTGACTTAGAAGATAGAAGCACAGGATTTTTTGAAGCAATGGACACAGTTTTATAGTCATAGTCAATGTGGAACATCTAGTAACTAAAAGCAGGTCTTTCACATATAAACAGGGTATAATAATTTAGTTTTTATGAATGCTTGTAATTGAATAGGCTATTTTCTTAATTCCACATTATATAAGTAATGGACAGTAAATATACATTTATAATGGAAATTACTGGGTTTTTCATTTTTTGTTAGATAATAAGTAAGAAGAAGGTCTTATGTTTTATTGTGTGTTTTGTTTTTCTACTTTAGAAGGAAAAATAACCAATTACACAAGCCTTCTGTGTGTCACTGTAGTTTTATCTTTTATGTGGTAGAAGTTACTTTATGAATTTTGTCAAAAATAGAATGATATCAGATGACACATCTAGTTTAAACCCTTAAACACATTCCTGGCTTCATTTGACTTACTCTGGTACTTCTCTAACATCCCACATGTCAGCATGCTCTGCTCCTTCTGGAACTTCTTCTGGATTCCAGATGGCCTCGCTAGTTTCATCACTGGTTTGAGAGATGACTGTAAAAAAAAAAAAAAGGGAAGATAAAGCTGAAGCTGTTGTCCATTTTCCCCTCAAAATCACTCCTTTTCTTTACATTCAGTTTGGGATCATTGAAGTAAAACATTTTCTATTTGTGATCTCTAGCTTGTTTTTTGGTTAAAAAAAAAAACCTAAATTAATACAATGATTAAATAGTTTAATCAACATGCAACTGATATATTGTAGAATTATAATAGTAATTGTAAAAAATTGGAAAAGACATTTAAGTAAATAAAAGAAAATAATCTATAATCCAACTACCAAGAGATAATGAATGATAGCATTATATCTATCTAGTCTCTCCCTCCCTCCTCCCCCGCCTCTTTCCCCTTCCTTCTCTCTTATTTATATATATATATATATATATATATATATATATATATATATATATATATATTAGGGGCCCGGTGCATGAAATTCATGCACTGGGGGGGGGGGTGGTCCCTCAGCCCAGCCTGCCCCCTCTCACATTCTGGGAGCCCTCAGGGGATATCCTTCTGATGGCTTAGGCCCGCTCCCTGCTCCCCTTGGAGCTGAGTCTGCCCCTGCCCAGGCCTAAGGGTTCTGGCAAGGCCTCTGGCCTGGGAAGGGAACCCCCAGCCCCCTCTGATCACCGGCTCCACCCCTGCCCAGGCCTGAGGCCTCTGGCCTGGGCAGGGGACCCCCAGCGCCCTCAGATCGCCAGCTCTGCCCTTGCCCCCTCCGATTGCTGGCTCCAACCCTCGCCCCCCCCCCCACCTTCCCCACCACCTGCCTGGCCAACAGGCCTGGACACTTCAGCGGCGGGGCTGAAGGGACTGGGCGCTGCCATCTTGTGGCTATGGGCACCACCATCTTTGTGATGGAGTGGCAGAGTGATGGTTAATTTGCATACTACTTTTTTATTAGATAGGATATATATATACCCATTTATATACACATCTAATAACATATAATATATAAAATGGCATTGCATATATAATTATATGCAAATAAATACTATATATTTTCCTAAAACATAAATAGAATCATATGTAAAATATCCTATATAATAAAGAGCTAATATGCTAATTAGACCAAACAGCAGAACGACCATCTGGACGACCTTGCAGACGAAGCTGGGCTGCAAGGGCCGAGCCCCTTGCACGAATTTTGTGCATAGGGCCTCTAGTTTTATATAAAAGAAAAATCAAACAATCACTTTGATTTAGATACAAATGTCTTATCTTGCATTGTGTTTTACTATATAAAAGCCCTTTGATACATATTTCATTCAAGTTTGACATAATTTTTAAAATATACCATCAGTTAAAAAAACTTGAAATGTTCATTTCTAATCCAGTATTTTCCTCATGTAGACATGGACTTTAAAGAAACTTGCTATCAGTTATTTTTAAGTAAAACTGAGAGTGTGCCTGAGTTTCTACATATCTGTAAATGTTTAAATGTAAACAGGCATACAAAACCCAGCGTACGTTTGTTTTTTCCCAACTATTAAAGCAGAAATAGAGAGCCACGTTTGGAACACAACGTTATTTGGAGTCCTTTTAAACATCTCCCCAAATGCACCTGATTGTCAAGTTTTTAATTCTGCTAATTTATTGAATTATCTGCTTCTGTCTAGCGTGGGCTTTGAAAGCCTAATTTCATATATATAATGAGGTAAAAGACTCTTGAGTACATTGAGCAAAAATAACTGAAATTTTAAAATCATCCCCTGAGACCTCATTTTTATCCATTACTTTAAATAATTTTTTTCAGATAAAATCATTTACAATTAGCTAAATTGGTGAGAGCTTTCTTTGTTTCAGCTAAATTAGAGCTTTCTATAGTTTTTAAGATGTATAAAATGTTCAGCTCTGTGAAAATATATAGTCTAAAATGCTGGGAATATATCCAACAATATTTATTCCAGTTTATTGAACCTGTGACTGTATAAGTTACCTCATGGGTTTAATTTATAAACATTTAAATATAAGATAAAACTGTGTAGTTTTTTGTTTTACAAAAGACTATCAGCTTAATGGGGTCAAAGATCTTTTCTATTTTGATTTCTATGGTAGTCTCAGAGATGATCATACTGCCTGGTACATAATAGATACTCAATAAATATTTATTGAATAAAATAATGAATGAATTATGTGAAATTGCCAGAATATAGCAGGATAGAAGGTGAAGAAGCTAAGCATCTTGATAACTAGATCCTAAGTTATGAGTTATTTAACCATACATTACTTTGAGGTTTTCTATCTCAGGAAATATGTCAAAACATGTGAATAATTCAAGGCAAATTAATTTCCATAACTATAAAAGCAACTTATTTGCAACAGTAGAATAATCAGCATCTTTATATGTCAATGACTCTTCATCATTTCTATAATTATTTGAGGTCATCATTAATAAGTGCTAGTGTTAGTATTACTCTCCCTATACTTTTGTCCCCAAAGAAGAGATTGTACTAATTATTTTGGCCTACACACTTTATTAAATAACTTACCTTTATGCACTTCTGTTTTTGGTGGTCCAATATCCCCAGGACCCATGGCTCTGATCGCAGATAAACAATTAGTCTATGAGAGAAGAAAAAGTCCAACTTTTAGTACTACTTGTCTAACATATGTGACCAATAATACTTTAAATTGATACGCTTCCCACCTAAAATTTCATATATCTTTCCATTTTAATTACCCATAGTTATTAATACAGCAGAGAGCCAGATGTAGAGTATTATTTTGAATGTGTTTTCCTTTTCTTTCAAAAAGCATTTGGTTTAATAGACTCTAAGGCAGAATTGATCTTTGATTAGACTAAATCCCTAGTTCCAGCCCAGTGGATTATGGATTCCTGGGGACAGCAGAATGAGCCACAGTCATCTCCCTGAAGGTTAAAACCAAGTGTTACTATAAGAGCATCGGCACTTTTGGATTTTGAGTGTCTGGTCACAGTTAGATGGGGGATAGAAGTACGGGAAAATGTTTTTTGGTTTTTTTTTAATACTCACCACAGGGTGTGTTTATTGATTTTAGAAAGAAAGGGAGGGAAGAAGAGAGAATGGAGGGGAGGGGAGAGAGAGAGAGAAACATCAATGTGAGAGAGAAGTATCAATTGGCTGCCTCCTATGCAGGCCCTGAACAGGGATGGGACCCGGAACCTAGGTATACGTCCTAACCAGGAATCGAACCCGCCGCAACCTTTTGGTGAATGGGATGATGTTCATATCAACTGAACAACCTGACCAGGGCTGGGAAAGTTTTATAGAAATAAAAACAAACCACTAAATAGAGTCTAAATATACAAACATCAAATGACTCATTCAAAAGTCCTGATTTCAGCTTTTACTTCTCTCCACTGTGTGTATGAAACACTGTTTTCTCCCACCACTTCATGATGCTGAACTAATGAATTTAAACAGCAATCCCAAATTAATAGGGTCAAATATATGCTGAACCACTACACTCTTCATACAAGTTCAAGTTTATTTTGCCATATTCTACACAAGTATACATACTCCAATAGGATTGCCTCTGATGCAGCAGTACAAAAACAGCTTTCCTTTTTCAAATAAGCATAACACATACTATGCCATCATTATAGTGGCAACCACTTCATTTGTCCCTCTCAGGGGTTCTCTGATATTTCAAGAAACTACCCTACACACACACACACACACACACACACACACACACACACTTTTTTTCACTAATTGTTCTTGATGTCAGATTCTGCATTCCAATTCACTGCAGTCAAAAAATTATTATCTTCTTGGATCTTGGCAAACAAGCATCTCTAACTCTTCTTTCTCAGGTCCCCATACTAATCTCCCAAGATTTAAGACATGTGTGAAAGTTATAATGTGCTATTTGGGCAAGATAAATAAAGTCTGTCCTTGAAAGCTGGTGGAAAAGCTCACCTGGGTCTTTTTATGCTAAATTATTCCAACAGCTATACATCAGAAATTAATTTATAACATGTCAACAGTTTCTGAGACAGTGACTATTCCTTTCCCAAAGGTGCTTCAAAAGTGCTAAGTATGTGGTTAAAGTGCTATAGGCATTTTAATATGAAAATCCAAAGACAATATTCTGTACTTTTTTTTCTTTTTAAGCACTAAGGTCATATAGACTTGCAGTGCTTTTCTTAAATTATTAATCACTGGAATACTAATAGTCAATCAGGGTAAAGCATTTCTTGGAACATGAGGACCGCTTGTTTTGTTGAGTGCCTCCTTCCATGAAAAAATTAAAATCTGTAGAAATAAAAACTTGAACATTTCTGACAAAAATTGGTATGCTTTCCATGGAGAGTGATGATTGAGTCAGTATACTAGAACATAGGGGGAGTTTCAGTTTATTAACTTAATGAAAATAAATGATTAAAAATAAAATTTTCAAGTGAAAAGATAGATCAGAGTAATAAAAACATTAAAAACCATCTGGCAACTCTTTTCTATAAGAATATCATTTCAGCCTTCACTGTGAATCCATGTCCAATTATCTGAGCAATTTTATCATTGCAATTCATTCCACTTTGCAATATGTAAGAGAGTTAGAACATTTTTGTTACAATTTTTGTTAAGAGTAGTGAACATATTTCCCACAGGTTTTAAGGTCCCCTTGTAAATCAAAAACAAACAACAGTCCTAATCTCTTTCCATTCTCCCAGATTCTTCACAATTCATGGTGGGGGACAGTATAAATGAAACAATGTGTATGCAAGAGTTTAATGCTGTTTTTAGAGAGTGTATTTTCAAAAACACATCACTCTTGTAATCATTCCACAGTTCCCAAGATTAATACATGTGACAAATAAAAAACCATTTCTCTCCTGCAAAATTTAATAGTTCATTAAAATATTAATTATGCTCCCAATGTTCTGATAATCCAATTCTATATCCTCTGATATCTGTACTGAGGTGTCTGAATGACTGATTATCTCAGAATCGCTTATAACTCAGATATAGACTCATACATTTTGATAGTAATTTTCTTCTATAAATTGTACAATTTGGTAAAATGGTCTTAGTTTCTCTATTCTCATAAGCACTCACCTTTACCTAAGAAACACCTCTAAATAAACATCTCCATACTTAAACGTCAAAGGGGTCTTCGTTACCAGGGTAATTCCTCATCTCTGAATCTGTTCCAAATACAAGTTCCACTTCCTTTTATGCAAGAGCAATGTTTCTAAAATATTTAGTATACTTTTGTACCTGATATAACCCCACCTTTCCCAGCATGTATTATTCTATTTCAGCTAAGGAAGAAAAAAATGAGCTTGCCTTCTCAACTTAATTGATACATGCTCCTAACTTTTTCTCCTATGTCTTATTTATTGCATATATTCAAGGTGTTATTAACATCCCTATTTTTCTTTAATTTTGGCCTCAACCAATACTTTTCCCTTACTAAAATATCTTGGCTCCTTTGCATGCCTTATATGATTCTGCTGTGTTCCACCTAAGCTCTTCCTGAAGAGTGGAAGCTAAATCCACTAAATTTGCTGTCTCTTCAGATTGTGCTTGTTTTTCCACACTATGGCAAAAAAGCATTTTAGAAGGAACAAATTGATATGCATTTTTATGGGAGATGGGTTGCTCATGGTAAACTGATTATAATAATGAAAAACTTTATTAAAATAAGTGAAAGCAAAGTGATATGTTCTGCAATAGTATGAGGTTTCTGCCCAAAATTTTGTTTGACTTAGGCAGTCTGATTGCCAAGGTTTGCTGATATCTAAGGAGTAGGAAAAGGGGGAATACACAAAGTATTTTTATTATAGTGGGAATATTAGCATTGACTGTGGTGTGGCCAAAGGTCAGCTCATAGAAATTTCCTATCCAAAATAAAGTCCATCTTGTTGCTGCGAGCTTCCCTGGGGTCACCCTGTACTGACCCCAAATTCTATTCAACTACCTAATTATATTCCACCACTTTATATGAGCATGTACCCAGAGGCCAATTTTAGTAGGCTGCAGCTAGTTCGTCCCCTTATTTGGCTCAAAATATTTTCTGTTCTCCTTTCATCTATAGACAAATGAAAAAGGATAAGTGGACTGAATTGGGTGGCATAATTAATACTGTGTAGTTGAAATTATTTATTTTATAGAAATATTGTCTAGGCTTAAAAATCCTAACTATCACACTGTGTAATGGTTGTCAAGCATTCTTTGGCCATAAATATAAATGACAAACATTTTGAAATGTAGCTATTGCTACCATAGTTACTGAACAATTTTCCTATTTAGCATTCAGGTAGCTTAGAAAAAATGTAATTATGTTTGCTAGAAATGTATTAGAGGTTTTACTCTCATACATAATCAACCCTGCAACTTCCTGCAAATGTATCAGATGACATAGCCTTACTCCCACAGCAAGGTTGGAACAAGTTGTTCAAATACAGTTTCACAGCATATTGTGAACAAAACTAATTCAACTATAAGTATACAACCACCTGTTCAGACTCAAAATCATCCTCTTCTTCAGGATAAAGTAGTTTAGAGAGGGCTTGAAGAGCTGAAACTGAAGAAATAGTTTCAGTCTCCATGTTTTCGGATTCCATAGTTTCCGTTTCCATATTTTCTACATATTCAGGTTCCATATTGTCCAAGTCCATATTCTGAGGAAGAAAATAATCAGAAATAAGTATTTTAGTTTTCTATTTTATTTAAGACACTAGAGGCCCAGTGCAGAAAATACATGCAGAGGGTGGGGGTGATCCTCAGCCCGGTTTGTACCCTATCGCTATCTGGGACCCCTCGGGTAGGGTCCCTAGGCCTGGCTGGCGATCAGGGCCTATCAGGGCTCTCCTTCCACAGCTGCTGGCAGCTGGCCCCACCCCAGCTTCTGCCATTGCTTGCCATCTTTGCGGCACTGCCCTTTCCCTCCCCGGCCACCAGTCGCCTCCCTCTGTGAGTGACAGGCATGGGGTACAATCGCTTGGCTGGCCTGGGCCTCCCTCTGCAGGGCGATTACTGGCCAGCCCCACACATCTGCGACAGCGTCACTGGCCAGTGGCCTGGGCCTCCCTCTGTGGGTCGATCGATCACTGGGCTCCCAGATTGATCACCCAGCAGAGGGAGGCCCTGCCCGCCAACCACAGCACTGCCAGTCGGATGGCCTGGGCCTCTCTCTGTGGCCACTGGCCAGGTGCTCTGGGCCTCCCTCTATAGGGTGATCTATTGGGGGGGGGGCCCCAGATTGATCACCCTTCAGAGGGAAGCCCCGCCCACCCACTACAGAGGCAGTGGCCGGGTAGCCTGGGCCTCCCTCTTTGGGGTGATCCATCTGCAGGGCTCTGCAATGGATTGCCCAACAAAAGGAGGCCCTGTCCAACTGGCCGGGGCTCTGCTATCGATCACCACACAGAGGATGGCTTGGCCTCCTTCTTTGGGGTGATTGCGGAGGTCCCCCACCCCAATCGATCACCCTGCTGGCCAGTGGCCTGGGCCTCCCTCTGCTGGGCGATCATGGGGTGATGGCTAAGCCACCCAACTAATTGCATCACACCTGCCTTGGCTGTCCTGGAGTCAGTGTGTGTCATAGCATGGTCGTCCAGAAGGTTGTCTGGACGGTCGTTCTACTGTTTTGTCATTCAGTTGATTTGCATATTATGCTTTTATTATTATAGACTAGAGGCCTGGTGCACGAAATTCATGCACTGGGGGGGGGGCTCAGCAGAGCCTGCACCCTCTCCAATCTGGGACCCCTTGAGGGATGTCCGACTGCCAGGACATCCCTCTCACAATCCGGGACTGCTGGCTCCTAACTGCTCGCCTGCCTGCCTGCCTGATTTCCCCTAACCACTTCTGTCTGCCGACCTGGTCGTCCCCAACTGCCTCCCCGCTGCCAACCTGGTCACCCTCAACTGCTCCCCCGCCCGCCGGCCTGATAGGCCCTAACTGCACCCCCCTTGCCAGCATGGTTGCCCCTTACTGTACCCCCAACAGCCTGGTCACCCCCAACAGCCCCCCATGCCAGCCTGGTCGCCCCCAATTTCCCCCCTGCCAGCCTGGTCATTCATCACTGCCCCCCTCTGCCGGCCTGGTCACCCTTAACTGTACCCCCTTGCCGACCTGGTCATCTGAAACTGCCCCCTTCTGCCGGCATGTCCCCAGCGCAGCTGGGAACTGGAGGCAGCAGTCACAGGCATTTTCCTCAGCTGGTCTGGACCAACAGAGCTAACCCAACAAGTGGATGGCTGTTGGAATAGCCACTGGACTGGTAGCATTGTGTGTCAAGCATACAAACAGTTAGAGAGAATGTCTGAACCATGGGGGCACGTTGTGAATGGGATTTGAGGTGCATGCCTAAGCTACAGAGTCAGAAGACACTCTCCCTACAGAGTCGCTCTCCATGGCAGCTGGCTTTCAGGCAAAGAAAGTAGATCACAAAGCCCTGCCACGAATTAGACTTCCAGGTCTTGCCTCCTATTGCCCTTGGATTGTTTCCAGGAGTGTATTTTCTGTAGGCCAAGAGCTGTTGCAATAGAAACACAGTTTCCCTCTGGGCTAGACCATTGGAGGTGAGGGACTGCCATTACTGTGAGGGAAAAACAAACTTCACCCCCAACCAGCAGAGGCTCAAAACTGTGAGGCCACAGAGGAAAAAAAATCTTGCAATTCAGTGCCATCTACTGGAACAGAGTAGAAAACCTCCTCAGAGATAAATGGGAAAACAAAGGAGAACAGCGAACACCATGGACAACCACAACAACAATGATGACCAGAAAGAAAATGAAAAATCCCCAGAAAACAAGCTGGAATACACAGAATCATGTGAGTTGAATGACAGAGATTTCAAGATTGCAGTTCTGAAAATATTCAATGAGATGCAAGGCAATTTAGCTCACTCAGAAAACAAATCAATGAACAAAATGAATATTTCTCCAAAGAAGTTGAATTGTTAAAAAAAGAAAAAGAAAAAAAAGAATGTAGCAGAAATCCTGGAAATAAAGCAGGCAATTAAAAAAAAAATAAGAGTGAACTGATGAGCATAGAAAACAGAACCAACCAGTTAGAGAAAAGAACTAGTGATATTGAAGATAGGAATCAAGAAATGATGCAGGGGGAAGAAGAGAAAGACCTGAGAATAAAGAAATATGAAATAGCCCTATGAGACCTCTCTGATTCCATAAAAAAATAATAATAACATCAGAATCATGGGTATAGCAGAGGAGAAAGAGAGAGAGTATGGAATGGAGAGTCTATTAAAACAAATAGTGGATGAGAACTTCCCAAATCTATGGAAAGAACTAGACCCTCAAATACAAGAAGCAAACAGAACACCTAGTTTCCTCAATCCAAAGAGGCCCTCTCCAAGGCACTTGGTAATGAAGCTGTCAAAAATTAGTGACAAAGAAAAAATCCTCAAAGCATCCAAGGAAAAAAATAAAGTGACTTACAAAGGAAAACCCATCAGAATTTCACCTGACTTCTCATCAGAAACTCTACAAGCAAGAAGAGAGTGGGACCAAATATTTAAATGACTGAAAGAGAGAAATTACCAGCCACTCATATTATATCCAGTGAAATTATCCGTGAAATATGAAGGATAAATAAGAACATTCCCAGACATACAGAAATTGAGGGATTGTATCACTAGAAAACCTCAATTGCAGGAAATACTAAAGGGAGTTATTCTACCTGAAACAAAGAACATAAGGTCATAAACACTATCAATAGGATTGACAAAAAGTTGCAGCATAAACAGGAATAACTTGTGACAATAAAAACATAAAAGGGGAAGGGGGACAGGTATGGACAGGCAAAGGAAGATGAAGGTCAGATGTACTCAAAAGGGAAAAAACTATGGTATATATGTAACTTCACTTTTTATAAAACTAATGACAACCACACAGAGAAATTCCCCAAACAAGACATATAGCTTAAAAAAAGAGGAAACAAGGGAAAGGTGTATGGAATACCACCAAACAAGAACAACAGATAGAAGCATAAAGGAACCAATGGAAGCACAGAGTTACCAGAAAACGAAAGATAAAATGACTATAGGAAATCCTCATACATCAATAATTACCCTAAATGTAAATGGTCTAAATTCACCAGTAAAGAGGCACAGAGTAGGAGAGTGGATCAAAAAACAAAACCCAACCATATGCTGCCTACAAGAGACACATCTAAACAGCAGAGACAAAGGTAGATTCCAAATAAAAGGGTGGAAAATTATTCTCCAAGCAAATGACATCCACAAAAAAGCAAGTGTAGCCATACTTACATCTGACAAAATAGATCTCAAGATAATAAAGATAAGAAGAGACAAAGATGTACACTTTATAATGATAAAGGGAAAATTACATCAAGAAAACATAACACTTTTTGCCATAACCGGTTTGGCTCAGTGGATAGAGCGTCAGCCTGTGGACTGAAAGGTCCCAGGTTCGATTCCGGTCAAGGGCATGTACCTTGGTTGCGGGCATATCCCCAGTGGGAGATGTGCAGGAGGCAGCTGATCGATGTTTCTCTCTCATCGATGTTTCTAACTCTCTATCTCTCTCTCCCTTCTTCTCTGTAAAAAATCAATAAAATATATTTTTTTAAAAAAGAAAACATGACACTTTTTAATATATATGCGCCCAACCAGGGAGCACCGAAATATATTAAACAGCTACTCACAGAACTAAAGGGAGAAACAGGTCAAAACACAATTAAGTTGGATACCTTAATACTCCATTGACAGCTCTAGACAGATCAACCAAACAAAAAAATCAATAAAGAAATATCAGCCTTAAATGAAACACTAAACCAAATGGATATAATCGACATTTACAGAACATTTCATCCCAGAACATCAGAGTATACATTCTTCTCCAGTGCACATGGAACATTCTCAAGGATAGACCATATGTTGGGTCACAGAATAAGCATCAACAAATTCAAAAAGACTGAAATTATTCCAAGTAAATTTTCTGACCACAATGCCATGAAATTAGAAATCAACTGCAAAAAGGAGGGGGAAAAAAAAAAACAACAAAAAAAAGAAAACAAAAAACTACAAACACGTGGAGATTAAACAACATACTACTAAAAAATTACTCGGTCAAAGAAGAAATAAAAGATGAGATCAAAAGATATATAGAGACAAATGACAATAACACAACATATCAAAACCTCTAGGATGCAGTGAAAACTGTAATAAGAGGGAAGTTTATATCACTACAGGCCTATCTCAAGAAACAAGAGAAATTCAAAGTAAACAACCTAACATCACACCTAAAAAGACTAGAGAAGAAAGAATAAAAGCAACCCCAAGTCAGCAGAAGAAAGGAAATAACAAAAATCAGAGCAGAATTAAATAAAATAAAGAACAAAAAGACTGTAGAAAAAATTAATAAAACAAAGAACTGCTTCTTTGAAAAGATTAATAAAATTGACAAACTGCTGGCTAGATTCACTAAGGAAAAAGGCAAAAAGATCCATATAAACAAATTCAGAAATAAGAGAGGAGAAATCACCATAGACATCACAGATATACAAAGGATCATACTAGAATATTATGAAAGCCTTTATGTCATCAAATTCAATAATCTAGAAGAAATGGATAAGTTCCTAGAAATATATAACCTTCCTAGACTAAATCATGAAGAACTAGAAAATCTAATAG